CGCCGGGTCCCCTTCCTTTACACCTGCGGGAAGAGCGAGACGGGGGGGGGCGACCTTGGCGGAAACATCTGGTCCTAATTGGGACCCCCCGCCCCGGTGAGCTCTTCTCGCCCTTCTGAGCGGCAGCCCAGCCCGGCTGGTCTCCTCGGCAGGAAGGGGGGGCCCTTCGTTTTCACCTTTTTTTTGCAAAATCTTGAATAGGTTGGAAAGTCACAGGCAACATTTCGCCTTTGGCTTCCCTGTATATATATATATGTACATTATATACCTGCCATCCAAGTGACGGTGGCAGATCTGCGGGTGCCAAATGGGTTCCGACCCAAATAACACTTAAGTTTCCCTGGTTGGTATTGTGGGACACTTTGAGGATCTAGCAGAACAATTGGAAATTCTCCTTTCCTTCAAAATAAGGTAACAGTAAAGCCCCCCCCCCCTTAAGAATCCATTGGATAACAAATGTACGGGATCCCCAACCTTCTCATCAATTGGACACATTTGCCCAAAATGTGAACATTTGTTTTGAACTTCGGATTTCTCTCTCCCTTTAAAAATCATCTTAAGGCCATCTTTGTATAGCAGTTCTAGGCTCCTGCATGGCTAATCCATAGCAAGCAAAAACAGAATGGGGTGTATATATACTAAGTTATGTAGATATACAATAATTAGGTGCTAATTGCCTTAGATTTCCCTTCCACATACAACTGCAGGAAGGGCAAACTTTTCAGGAAGGCCATGGGCTTAGTGGGGGCGAAAAGCAAATTCTCTGTTCATTTTTTCTCTGCTCCTTGAAGAAATAACCTCAGCATGATATTCCAACCACGGGACTTTAGAGGCAACACTGCATAAATCTCTCATTCCTCTTCGCATATATAGATGCTTCAATTGTATGTAATCTGTGTGTGGTTCATGTGTGATACATTTCACATCAAACCTTGCTCCGAACGATCATTAATCTGCTTGTAGCTTCGGAATTTGGTCTGAATATATTGGGGAAAAATGAATGTATTGCACGACTTCATGTTCTTGTAAAAAGGCGTATCCTAAAAATAAGTTATTTTTCCTAACTTTGGGAAAAAACATAAAACATTTGCCGACAATTTTTGTACAACTCCCCACTCAAAATGGAGAAAGCATTACATACATACCCATATATGGAAATATATATATTTTTTAATATCAAAAGAAAATGTTCTGAAATGAACAAGCTCAGTTTTGATTATGCACTGGAAACGATCCTCTCTGCTTCAAACTCCCCTTCAGAAAGGAATGTAAAAGTAGGATGCAAGATTCTAATTTGGAAAAATAAGAAGAGAAAAGAAGGGATCCATGGCGGAAAGCAGAAGGAAAGAAAATGCCAGTCACAAATCATCTAACACCATTGAAGCTTAGCATCTCCAGCCCCACCAACAATGTCTTCTGGATGATTCATCATTAGGCTTCATCCCCGGAGCTTCGGTTAAAAATGATGGAGCAAGTAGAGAAAGAGGGGCAGATTCATGCATTTGGGTTATTCCTCATGAGTTCCACATCTGCTTTCACCATCTCATTCACCAGCTCCTGTGAGAAGAGAAAGGCACATACGTTAAAAAGTGTTAAGACTCTCCATTCAGACTAAGAAAATGGCCTGACTCACTATTTAGAGTAAATGTGTTAAATCTCTAACCTTTTAACCTCCCACAATCACTCTACCTTTTTTCCCCCTTCAATTTTAGAGATATAGTTTTAGCACTTTAAAGGACAGTAACTAGATTAAGATCCTTTTAGTACCATGGTGGCTTAAATTGGGACTGTTGGCTGCAAACACCATAAATAATTTTTTTTTAAAAAATGGGCTGATAAAACCCGCTTGCCGTGAATATACATTTGTTTTTCATTTGTTGAATTATACCCTTTCACTTTCCTTTCAGAGCTGAGTTTCTTTCCCCCCCCCTTTTTTTTTTAAGGAACGCAGCACAGTGTTGTAACATTCAATCTGAAAAAAACGTACTTGGGAAAATGCAGAACATACATTTTAACCTACAAAATGTTTATTCCTGTGGTCAGCTACTATCCACTGATTGCTTAGAACAATTTAGATTAGTCTCATCGCGGTGAAAGTTGGAGAATGGCTGGATGCCTTGCCCCGCTGTGTTCCTGAACTGTTGTTTTGTAAGATCACTCTGGTTTTTTTTGGTTGAATTAGATATTTAAAAATTTAAAACTATTCTCCCCCCCCCACAAAAAAAGTGGTCTTCAGGAAAGCATATGGAGAGAGAGAGACAAAAAGAGAACTTACATCAAAAGTGACACTAGGTTTCCAGTTGAGTTTCTGCTTCGCTTTCGTAGAATCGCCTTGTAGAAAATCCTACGGAGAATAAAGAAGAAACAAATGGCATTGTAGGGTAATTTGGGTGGTTTTTTGATCACTGTTCATAGACCAACTTGAAACTCTCTTTTTGCCTCTCTCTCTCTCTTTCTCTCTCTCTTTCTTCCTCTCTTTCTCTCTCTCTCTTTCTTTCTCTCTTTCTTTCTCTCTCTCTCTTTCTCTTTCTCTCTCTTTCTCTCTCTCTCTTCCTCTCTCTCTTCCTCTCTCTTTCTTTCTCTCTCTCTCTTGCTTTCTCTCTTTCTCTCTCTCTTGCTCTCTCTCTTTTTCTTCCTCTCTCTTTCTCTCTCTTCCTCTCTCTCTTCCTCTCTCTCTCTTTCTCTTTCTTTCTCTCTCTCTCTCTTGCTTTCTCTCTTTCTCTCTCTCTTGCTCTCTCTCTTTTTCTTCCTCTCTCTTTCTCTCTCTTTCTCTCTCTTTCTTTCTCTCTCTCTCTCTCTCTCTCACACACACACACACACACAGACACACACAGAAAGAGAGCTAACACTCCATCTTTAGAAAAATGAAAGAAAAGCCTTTCAGCTAAAGAAAATCTGCCTGATCCCTTTCCAGGCTGGGTTAAATGTTGAAATACAGGAGGAGGATTGATAGAATACCATTTTGTTCCAGTGTTGTAATCAGCCACAGATTATTATATAAATGTATCCAATAACTAAATCTACTAGTGATTCTTAGAAATCCATCTTTCCAAGTTTTACAGCACCAACTAAAGAATTGTTTTATCGTAATAAATGATCGCACATCATCAAATATTATTTTTTTAAAATCTTATTTTAGGTTATCCATAGACACCAAAGTTTGGTTTTCACACTATTAGAAATCAATGCCCTGTATTTTGATTGTGTCCTGCTTTAATTACATTTAAGAAACAAATCACAACAGCAAACCCAAAGCTATGTTTTTCTTCAGATAGATGCACACAATCACCACAGCCAGAAGGCTCTGTTTCATAATTGGGGTACAAAAATAACTCAAATGAATTATTCAGAATTTCATATTCATCATTGATAGTATTGCTGGGAGTTGGGCATTATAAACCTTCAGTTTTACCTGTAAATATTATTAATGACAGAACAAAGAAAGCAGCATAATTCAAATGCTTAAAGCGTTTCCACTCACTTCAAATTTATAGAGGAGTGTTTGAAAAACCTTAACCCCTCTTATAAAAATGCGTTAAGACTGTACATCTGCATTCATGCAGCAATGCCACCAAAGGACCATATTTCCCGTAAGCCAATTGGATGACTGCATTTGCAGACTAATTTTAATAATAGAGAATGGCGCATTCCATCTGTTCAACAGGCATCGGTTGCAGCTGAGTTTTAGGCTCGGCAAGAACCTTTTTTTAAAAAACAAAAAATCTCCACCACATCGCTTGCAAATGAAAATTGGAAAGGATTGCAGTTCCGTGGGCCGTAATTTTTACAAGTAGCTTCACGCGGTGAAAAAACGAACTAAAAACGCAGCTCTCTAAAAAGTGCAGCTTAAAAACAAGGCTTGGAACAGAAAGTACCCAGCTAAGTTGTTCACGCTGCTGTTGAGTGAAATGAGATATCTACTTATTTAGCCTCCAGATAGAGTCTGAACTGGAGCCTACAAACTATTTCTGGGGAAGACTGGAATTCTAGTGCCAGAACTTTCTGTTTTCTTAGCCATGGAATTCCATGCAAGTCTGCTCGCATGGAAGCGTGACTGGCCTCCATGAGATTTTACTCCACGGTGCAGTCCTCCTTACAGCAGTGTTTCTCAACCTTGGCGACTTTAAGTCCTNAAAATAAAAATAAAATAAAAATAAAATAAAAATAAAATAAAATAAAAATAAAGCGCAGGAGCCGAATTTTTACCCTCCTGGCCCCGAAGATGGGCGGGATCCCTTTGCGCTGGTCGCCTCCTCCGCCGCTTTTGCCGAGGCCCCTTGGATCGGCGCCCATCGAGCTAGAAGCGCCTTTAGGTCTCCTTAGCTTGAAACGCGCCGGTGGCAGTTAAAAGGCCACCCGATCTAACCGCCCGATTTGACCGCGTCTCCCTTCTTGGCTTCTCCGGCTGCTCCATCCGCCCACCGGCTCCATCTCGCCCAGATTCGGCAACCAGCGCAGGCGGGGACTTCAGTCCCGAACCGGCGAGGCGGCCGCATCTGGGGTCGCGGCTCTTCCCCGCAACGGCGCAGTCTCCCTCGGGTTACCTGGAGCGAAGTCCACCCCTTGACGGTACACCATACACCGGGAGGCGGGCTGGCGACGACCGTTTAAGGCGTTTCGATGCCCCGCGGAGCTTCGGCCGAGGGAGAACCGGAGGGGCCGTCGCGGCTTTCACTCCCACCCCGCAAACTCTCCGGCCAGCTCAGCGATGGGGAAGCGCGGAAAAGCTGCCAAAGGGGGGCTTTTCCCACCTGCCTCCTGCCAGCTTCACCCAGCTGGGCACCGGCGGGCTTTGAGATGCCCTCGCCAGGCCGGCAAGGAACGGAAGAGGCCCAGCGGCCCCAGGAGGAGGAAAGGAATCGGGGCGCAAGGAGCGCAGGGCCATCCAAGCCTTTCCAAAGGGAGACCCGGATCTCCTGGGGTTGCGGAGGGGTGGGGGGGGGTGGGCAAAGGGATCGGGGACCGTTTTCTCGGCTTCCGGAATCCGGCCGGATTCTCACCCTTTTTGCGCGGATCCCTTTTTTTGGCGCGCGCGATCCTAAGGAGGCCATCCAGCCGGGCCTGGAAGAGGGACGGCCCTTCCTTCCCCTTGCCTGCCCAGAAGGGGCCTTCTGCTGGCTCTCGCCTCCCGAAGGAGAGCCCTGATTCCGCCGGGTCCCCTTCCTTTACACCTGCGGGAAGAGCGAGACGGGGGGGCGACCTTGGCGGAAACATCTGGTCCTAATTGGGACCCCCCGCCCCGGTGAGCTCTTCTCA